GGGCTCAGGAAGTAAGAGCTCTGCTATACTCTGCCCTCCTCAGACCACACCTCAAGTCTGTATTCAGTTATGGGCAACAAAGTTTTAGGAAAGACATTATTAAGTTAAAGAGCATCCAGGAGGGCAACCAGAATGATTAAGAGCCTCTTTAAGATTGGTTGAAGAAACTAAGTGTTTGATCTCAGAAGACTAAGAAAGCTCATGATAGCTATCTTCTAATGTCAGAAAGGATGCCTTGTATGAATAGTAGCTTTGACCGTCTGGCCTGATATAAGAAACAACTAGCTAACAACTAGGACTATCTGCAGTGGAAGGGGTTCCTTTGGGAGACAGTGGTTTCTTCCTCATCACAGGAATCAAAAGAAGACAAGATGAACTGAATTCTGTCACCTCAGTTATAAAGAAGCTTCTTGTTCTGGTATGGGCTGAATGAGAAGGATTTTTCTCCCATCTCTCAGATATTATAATTACGTAGTATGATGTTATTAGCCTTTTTGTATTAACTTCTAAGAAACTCAGAGCTAAATTCAATATTCAGCTGAGTTAAGTAATTCATCTTAATTAAGTTTTTATTCTATTTCTTTGCTCCTGTTTACTGATTTTTGCTCTTTTTTTTTTAATTTTTAATTGTCCTATTTTATATCATGTTCAATGTTAAAGGTGCCCCTCAAATTCTTTTTCTGAAACAGGAGGGTTATTTATATGTAATAAGAAATTAATGATAAATTGGAAATCAGATCTCTAAGTCACCGACAATTAATAACAACAACAATAATAACCAGGATTTATATAGCACTTTAAAGTTTGCAAACAGGGAACCACTTACCCTCTAGGCTCACAAGGCAGGTGTCATCTTGGACTCCTCACTATCTCTCGCTCCCCCACATCCAATCTATTGCCAAGACCTGAAGATTTTAACTTTCCTATATCTCTCATTTATGTCCCCTTCTCTCTTCTGATACTGCCACAACTCTGGGGCAGGTCTTCATCATCTCACATCTGAACTACTGCCATACACAGTTCAACCTGCTGATTCATTCTTCCTGCCACAAGTCTATCCCCACTCTAGTCCATCCTCCTATCAGACATTAAAGTGAGTTTCCTAAAGTGCAAGATCCAACCTACTCAATAAACTCCACTGGATCTCTATTACCTCAAGGATGAAATACAAAATCCTCTGTTTGGGGTTCAAAGCCTTTCATAAATCTAGTTCCTTCCTATCTTTCCATTCTTCTTATATCTTACTCTTTCCCCCACTTGTACTCTTCAATTCAATGACACTGGCCTCCTTGCTGTTCCAGGAACAAAACACATTATTCCCTAGACTGTGCATTTTCACTGACTGTAACCCATGCCTGGAATGCTCTCCCTCTTCATCTATACCTCCTGGCTTCTCTAGCTTTCTTCAAGTCCCAACTAAAATTCCATCTTCTACAGAGGTCTTTTCTAATCCCTCTTAATTTTAGTGTCTTTGCCCTGTGGATTATTTCCTATTTATCCTGTATGTTGCTTATTTGTACACAGATGTTTGCATGTTGATTTCCCCATTAGATTATGAGCTCCTTGAGGGCAGGGACCATCTTTTGCTTTCCTCTGTGTTCCTAAAACTTAGCACAGTGTCTGGTACATAGTAGGCACTTAATAAATACAGAATTATGTCATCTGGTCTTTACAATACTTCTGAGAAGTAGATGCTATTATTTTCCTCATTTTAGAGACAAGGAAATTGAGGCAGAAACTGACTTGTCCAGTCAAGTAGCTAGTGTCTAAAGCAGGATTTGAACTCGTCTTCCTGACTCTAGATCCAACTCTCTATCCCCACTATGTCTAGACATTCCAGTCACTAGAATTCTGCTAAAGTCATTGTTAAAGGAACCAGTCCCTCCTCCCCCCAAAAAGATATTTAATGTACAAATAGTATATATTTTAAATTAACAATAACACAAATCTAGCTCCAAAAGTTAAGGCTAAATGGCAAAAAAATTAGATATTTTGGGTAAAAGTCACACACCTCTATCAACTTGAATTGCCCTTTTCTGTCCTCCCCCAACCCTAAAAAAGGTAACTCTCATTAACAAGAACAGCATTTATATAGCACCTACAATGTGTCAGGCACTGTAATGATTCCTTCACAAATATTCTCTCATTTGTTCCTTACAACTCTGGGAAGTAGTTGTTATTATTACCCCCATTTTATAGATGAGAAACCTGAGGCAAACAGAGGCTAAATGATTTGCCTAGGTCTAAGGCCACACTGTCTAAGCCACATTTGAACTCTGGTCTTTCTGAATCCAGGCCTGCTATTCTACCACTGCAGGAACAGCCTAGAAAGGCTGTCAAGATACTGAAACCTAGTACAGAGGATGAAAAGCATTTCAACTACAAGAAGACATAACTCCAAGAAATGTTCTCAGTAAATTATCCAGCTTAACAATAGAAGCAGAGTTAATTAAGGTCCTAGGGCCACTAGTTTCACACACAAACATACAAGGAATCTATTAATATGTCAAAATGGGTAACTCCCAATAGAGGAACCTCCATTAAGGCAGATAACACCCTTCTATGACTTCTTATGAAAGTCCTAGAGAGTTAAATATACAGGCTACTATATAATGTATATATACTAAAGCACATATAGGTTAAATGACTCATCCAGGGTCAAAATAGCCAATATATGTCATAAAGGACTTAAACCCAGGTTTTCTTGATTCTAATGCTAGCATTCTAACTACTATTTCATATTGCCTCTAATATAATAGTTTGATACTAGGAAGAAATTGTATTTAAGTAATTGCATTTCTTTAAACTTACAAATTAATGTTTATGTTTAACTGTTTTAACAAAAAGCCACAGCTAAATGGAAGAATATGCTAAATTTGTCTCTTTCATTTAATCATGCCTAAAGAATGCCTGGTGAACAGCATAATCCTAATTGGAGACATAGTCCCAAAAATGAAATGAACAGCTTCCTAAGCATTGGCCTTGCAAACTCAGATGAATGCAAACATGGTAATTTGTTACATTGGAATGAATATCAAACACATGCAGCATAGCCACAATGTAAATGCAGTTTCCCTGTTTCCTTTAGCAGAAGCATTTTTTTGTATTTAACCCCTACTTCAACTTTATCATAAATCACAACCCTAGATTTATTAATTTCTAAAAGGTGTGGGATCATATTTTTTTGTTTCTTATAATCCACACAGAATGAATGAAAGAAAAGACCTACCAATAACTTGGGGAAAAAGAAAAAAGCAATACATCTTTTTTTTTTAAAGGCCATGCCTTTTTACAGATAATTAACATTCATGGATATCAGATTCTGATCATTCCATTTGGTTCTTCGTAACATGTAAATACTTTGCTACGTCCTGGCAAGAAAATCAACAGTCAGAATTGTTTTTTCAATGATAATTTATATGAATTATAGAACTAATTTCTAGGTACCAAAACTCAACTGAAAGCTCCAATGATGGGTGAGCTCCAATTTAAAACAGGAAGCTAACTAGTAATAGCATTTTTAAAGGAGTATCAATAAAAATAAAATGACTGCTATCTTCAATAAAGATGTTGCCAAAATTCGATGTTGTGTTTCATCATTTTTGTTATATACCAGCCTAGATAAAGTAAATATTTTAAAAAAATTTTAGCTCCTGAAATAGCTATACATATGCTACTCCTTAAAATTTTTAAATTCTAAGGAAATAAGAATTCATAGAAAGATAACCCCCGACATTTCTCAATCCCAGACAGAGAGCAAGTTATTTACACTGTAAGAGGATTCATAGAACCATAGGGCTTATAATAATTGTTTTATACTTCAAAAAAAAAAAACAGTAAGATTAGGGGACAAAGAAACTTATAGCTAAATTTTTAGAATATTCTTTCAACCAGAGGTCAACCAAAATTGATACATTATCTTTGAAATTATAATAGAAATTAATGGAAAATGAAATTACCTTTATTTAAGGGAAAAAAAAAACTAATGGCAACTTTTCAGTTACTTATCAATTATGCCAAGCAATATATAATAACTCTAAAAATGTATCTTAAAATTTGCTGTGGAAAAATTCAAACTTTCCCTAAATGTTAGTCATTTCAACTCATTTCAAAGTGAAATGAAATGTATAAATTAAAAGGAATTAAGAAACTAAATGTCTTAAGATTTAAAATGAAACACAAATGATTATATTATAGCCAATTATGTATAAATTAGGGAAATAAACTAGATGATCTACCTCTATAGCTTCATCTTCCTATGCATATCATCTTTTCCTTTAGCTAGCTGTCGTCTTTCCCTTTACATCACTGTCAAACCCAGAATAGTCTACGACATACATATACAAAATTTTCTACATTTCTCTCCTTTATCAGAAGGTTGTGAATCAATTCAGAAATGAATTATTTCATGTAGGGGGTGACCAAAAAAAAAAAACACAACAGCCTTTCAAACTGAATATTTTTAAAGCAAAAATCCATTAAGCCTGTAGCTGTTAACACCTACTTTCTATGGCACCTGCCATTTAGTGATTTTAAATTTGCTATGATTTAACCTGTCAACCAAAACTAAATATATTACAACCAGATAGCTACTGAAACAATAACTGAGCTTAGGACAATGAATCAAAGCACATTTTTTTAAAAAATCTCTAAACATTCATAAAATATGATTCAAAACCAAAGTGATGTTAGTATCCTCAATACACAAAAAACTGAGTTGCCAAAAATACATTTCAAAGTCATAAGGTTTGCTGATTATTCTCACTATGACCATGAAATCTTTGACAAATAAAAACTAAAATGAAAAGACATTTGTAGCAGTTGCGCAGGGGGTTATTCTATAATCAATGTTTACATGATTGCAATATGCATTTTTGTACATTGTTAAACAGGAAGATCTAGTATTGGATTGTTTATGTTAACATATCAGGTTCTAGAACCTTTGTTTGAGACTGCAGAAGAAAAATTATTATTAACACCCCAACACCTGAAAGACTTACCATTTTATCTAGATGTTCAATGGATCTATAAATCTCCCCCTGGGATTCATCATAGTAACTGTAACGGAACCTTTGACCTTGAAACAAATATTATGTACAAAATAAAATAGGGAAAATTAGAAGCTAAAAAAGCAAATATTTACCAAAATAAGTTCAGTCCTCATGGAAGGCAAAGCATAGCTTAAGCCTCTGAGAGTCATTCCCATGAGCCCTTAATAAGCCAAAAAAGGTGAATTTGGTATTGTAATAAAGAAATGATAATCATCACAGCATTTTTAATGTTAAAAGGTATTCCAAATTGTAAAACAGTAAAGTCACCAGCAAAATAAAAGATTAAAAAAGAAACACAAAACAGCTTAAAAAGTTAGAGGCATGGTTAAGTATAGTTGGTCAGTGAAGAAGACATTTACAATTCTTGCAATAATGAAAAGTAGATACACAAAATATTCTTCAGAGCAATTTAATGTAAACAAACAACCTGAATCTGACAAACCATAGAAAGCTTAGATTTTGGAGCAAATATCAATCTCCATTACAAGAAATCTATGGAGGTCAGAAATATACAGGTAGCTTATGCCTGTGGTTTTCCCAACCTTAAAATACAAGTGTTTGTTCTCTGGTCAAAATTTTTTCTTTTTGAAAAAGGTCAATACAGGTTCCTTAATTGAAGAACAAATGAATTGCAAGAAAGAGTAATTGTAATAAATAGTATACTTCTCTTAACTTATAATACTTCAATAACAGTATCCAGGTACTAGAAGTAGTAATTTTATATAGTCATTTTCCAAAATTAGACAAACAGAAAGAGCCAAAAGGGCAAAATAAAAAGAAACCTGCTTAAAACAACTGGGCAACAAAAGACACACCAATCTAATTTTGTCCTCACCATTCTTTGCTACAGGGATAATTACAACTAACTGTGGATTGTGATTCTTAAGACTAGTACATATTACACAGGCACCTACACCATTCTTTCCAGCCTGGCAATCCACATTGAATTAGTGATTAAAGAGGTGGTTTAATCTTCAAAGATTCATTATACTTAGCACATTATTCAATTTCTAAAACTAGATAACAGATTTATAGTTGGAAGAAACAAATCCTTTCATTTTACAGTTGGGAAAAAAAGACAACCAGTAAGGTTAAATGATTCTTGATAAAGATTAATCTATAGCAGAGCTGTGTACATAGGCCTTAAGAATCTAAGCTCTATCCTAGAGCAATGTTTTACATATGAGCCTTTGTCCTCTCATGGAAGATGGCAGGTCTTCATGACTGTATCATTAAGATAAAGCTGGCTTTCTCTCAAATCTTCTTACCTACTAGGATGATTGACTTGGAAATAAGGGGCAGTTAAAAAAATCTTAGCATCATTTTCAAGTTTGTCTCTTAAAAGAAAAACTAAATATGGATACAGTACCAGCTCATTTATCCTGTGGCAGAGAAAAGTTGTACATGTGTAAAAATTTCCAGATTGCCAAAATTTTTCATTTTAATCATCTCTGACAAAAATTTAAGATGCATGACACTTTTCTGCTTGCTTAGAATATACAAAACATCATCTAAAATATTCTTGGAAACACAGGACCAACTATTTACTGCCAGATAATACAACTGCCAACTCCAAGGGAACTGAGGTTTTGTAAAGGTGCTTTTAATATTGTTATGCTTTTATACCAGGAGTACTGTCTCTTGTGTCTGCTGTCAGCTGAACTCCTATTTGTGGCCAGTGTGAACTTCTAATTGCTGCCTTAAAGGCAAGTTTCTGGCTTGAAATGAATGGAACTCTGGCTTGATTTCCCCTCTCCTATGGAGTAAAGTACATAAAATTTATGATAGCTATTTGCCACAAAGAAAACTATTCTGCTTATTTCCAGGACTGCAGATGTGATTGTCAAAGTCTGACCCCAAGATCAGTAAAATGTTATTGTACTTCAAAACAGCTTTCTTCGGATGTGGACCATTTAAAAATAATTTTAAGAACTCTGTTTGCAAAAACACCCACACATTAAAACATAATATTAAGAGAAAGCTTGATCTTAAATTGGGATAGAATGTCACAAGCTAACTGGATAATAATAGTAATAATAAAATATACAGAATAAATTTAAGCAAATGGTTGATATAATACCCTCTGACCTTTTATTAGTATTCTCCTATATAGAGCTACTAAAGAACTAAGGAGAGTATACCTAACTTAGTTCAATTTAACAAATATTTATTAGGTGCTTACTGCGTGGAAGGCATTATAAGAAACACCAGCAACAGAAAGAAAAAACAAAGGTCTTGCCTTAAAAAAACTTACATTCCTATCTTAGATGATAAGTACTTAAATATTTATTAAATACAGAAATTATGTTAAATCACTTTATATGATTCACAGATGCTCAGGGCTTTTATTCCCAAAATAATCTTGACTGACCTATCACTGCTACCACCTTGACATGTATGTTAAAGCCTCAGTGGAAAGAGCTCATGGAATATTGTGGGAGGTTTTTTATTTCTTAAAAAAAAAATAAAAAGGAGTTGTTATTACTCAGATTAATGAGAATACCTGGAAGTCTTAGTATCTAGCACAGTATCTTGTGCATAAGTAGATCCTCAAATATTCTTGTTGTTGATTGGGGGGGGGGGCGCGCCTGATTTCAAATGTGTCTTAACTACCAATATATTTTGGGTCACAATATCTAACATTTTCAACACCAAAATCAGTTTCTGCAGCTGCCCATTTTCCTGGACAAGTGGACTTGTGCATTTTTTATAAGTATGAAAAAAGCATACTACACATCACATAGTAAGAGAAAATTACTTACCTGAAACTTATCCTTTCAGAAGGTACACTGGGAAAATGGATTCTTTGAGCCCCTGTTTCAACTCCAAGTATGAGCTTTCTAGCTTTAAGAGCAATTGACACTGCCCCTAGAAGCAGTACAAGCTTTGGAACTCCCCTAGTGAGTGTAAGTCAGTAGTTTCTTCAGGTGCCTTCCCTCAGTTCTTTTCAAATTCAAAAGATGAGAGGAAAAATAACCCAAGAAAAAATCCTGTAAAGCAGAAACCTTACTCTTTGAGGAAAGGAGGGTAGCTCATTTGTGAATCCATTCCAGAGCACGCTTTCTGAGAAAAAGAAATACAGGTAAGTAATTTTCCCATCTCCAAAGGTGACTGGTGATTAATGAGTGGATTCACAGAGTGTGGAGAATAAGCTCCAGGGATGTCTATTTAACACACAACAAGCAACTAATGAGGACAAACAAAACAATGAATGGCACAAGTACCAACACTACTTTTAAGAATCTCAAAACAACAACTAAAAACAGTACCTCCACATAAACAGCATTTCAGACAAAAAAAGGAATAAACAATGAATTTGACAAGCTGGACCCTCAAAAGCCCAGGCAATAAGAAAATTTTAGACAAATATTCATTCACTGTTCTGATTAAACTCGCCTTCAGGATTATACGTTTGCATTTTTTATCACTGTACCTTTGGATCTACAACATGCTTTACAATCACCTTTTTAAGTGAGTAAAATCCTCACAACAACCCTGTGAGGTAGGTTATTAGCCCATTCTACCCTAAACATAAGGACCTAGTCTGGGGTAAATATAGGGACTCATTATTAAAAGAAAACTTTATTTCATGAAGGAAATACTAACAAACTGGCATTAACCTGAGAAATCATGTTTCTAAACAACACATTGTCATTCCTTGATTCTAGGAACTACATAACGAAATAAAAGCACAAAGCTTCTTAACAATATCTGATATATGTTAATTCACTATACTAAAATATCTGAGAAAACTACAAACCTGTATGCCCAGTGACATATACTTTAGGTAGAAGCTAACATCTATGAAACTATTTAAATATATTTGTAAAATAAAATGGGAGATACACAAGAAGACTAGCAAAAGTTACCAACCTTCTAAAAAAGAAAAAAGGAATACAGATGGGAAATGATTCTCCAATATCCCTGAAGCTGATAAAATAGGATAAATATTGATGCAAATTCCACAAATATGCCAAAGAGTGCAATCATGCACAGAGCAGAATGTGTTTGTTTAAAAAAAAATCACAAAAGCCTAAACTCAACAGTTTAGTAGATAAAAATAAAAAATCACTGGGTGAAGAGAGCAAGTAAAACTGTATTTACATTCAAATAAAACATGACATGATACATTGAACTTTTACCTAAGAAAATTATCACCAATGATCTGGATTTTAAATTATCATTAAGACAGTAAATAGTGATAACAAGTGGCAAATATTCACTCAAAAAAGAATTTTCTATTATATTACAGGACTCAAGCCATTTTATTTAATAAAGTTTTCAAGGAACTACAAATAAGTTGCCAATGAGTCCAAAGTGGGAAAGGTTATAAATCCATATGATAATTGAGTTTAGAGCTGCAAATGCTCCCTCTAAAAGATCATTCAATCCAACCCCTTCATTTTACAGATAAGGAAACTGAAGCACAGTAAAAGGGAAGTGACTGCTCAAAATCACACAGCTACTAAATGCTAGAATTAGAATTTTAACCAGGAGTTCTCTGACTCCAGAACCTGGGTTTCTCCAGCTATATCACACTAGACCAGAGGTAGGGGAAAAGAGAAGTGGGAAGAACTGTCAGGAGGCTATTGCAACAGTCTGGGGAAGGCAATAATGGCCTGAACTATGTAAGGTGGTAGCAATGTGGATAGTAATGAGATACCTCTAAGAAAGGAAGGATAGAAGATTTGAGGTGTAGAACAAGGGCCATACCAAAGAAAACTCCAAGACTCTAAGCATGAATGACTGGATAAATAGTAGCATCACTTATCCAGATATTTTAGTAGGGAAGAGACAGAGATTTGGGGGGAAAGATAAATCAGAGACAAATTATGCTTACACTAGTGGTAATCTTTTTTCCCCCATACTGAATGATATAAGTTGAAACAAAGCACATCATATAGCCAAAGTGACTATTTTTCTCATTTTAAGGGTTCTTAGGGAAAGTAAAAAGATAATACTAAGGAAGGCAAAGAAATACGAACAGTAAATATTTTAATAGAAAAGAACATGGGAACAAATGACACTTTTTTAGGTAAAGTTGGTTCCAATCACGTATTTCATGAAAAATGAGGATGCCAACAAGATACCATGGACTAAAAGGGAAATTCTGTATCACCATTAAAATCAACACAATAAAAGTATAACCTTTATTGAACTGCTGAACCTTAGAGAATAATCACTGAAGATACATTTGATAAATGCTTAAAAACTAGAGGCTTTCCTACACAAAATTCAAGTACTGGCAATTCTCTTGCCTTAGCTTTTGTTCCATTTCCTATCGCTAGTGGAGAGGCAAGTGAGAGGCATAAGAGGGTGTCCTTATTTCTACCTGAACAAGTATTTCATCATTCTGGCTATTTCAGTGATCTGTGAGACCAATAAAGGAAGAGATAAAGAAGCCAATATGTGGAGAATACAGAGCAGAGAACAGGAAATAGAATGTATGATAGGGGTACTTAGGCTTATGTTCCTGTCTCCATTCTATCATCATCCTAGAAGTATGATGGCAACTTTTTAAAAAATCTATTCCTTCTATTAACGGAAAGGCATAAAAAGCAGATAAGTTAATATAGAAGGAGAATTCTACAGTTTTCCCAAAGTGAAACATACAAAAAAAAAGTCATCCTTATGCTATTCAGATTATAACAGAAATTTCATCCACATTAAATGATGAATCCACAGGGCAAAATTCTTCTAGTTAAAGTGCAAGAGCTTCATTCTACCTTGATTCATTAAGAAGCTATGGCTACTATGAACAAAAACATAGATGAGAATTATTACAGGTGACATCTATATAACATTTTAAACTCTTGCAAAGTGCTTTACATGAATTATCTCTTCTGATTAATCTATCAATTCTCTATGAAGTTACCAAATATAAATAGGTAGCTGTGGCACAGTCACAAGAACTCTGAATTTTAAGTCAAAGGTTCAGGTTCAAATCCCAGCTCTGCTACTGACAATTAGTGTATTTTTGGTAAGTTAATTTAACCTTGCTGGGCCTCAGTATTCTCATTTACAAAATGAGAGAAATAGATAAGATGTTTTCTAAGGTTGGCAATACATTTAAAGCTTATGATTCCACGTTCTACTACTCTTAGCAGAATAAGAAGACCTATTTCAAGTGCTTCAAGATGATATAAATAATCTTTTTAAAGTAGACTTTCCTGACTAGGAGAATTCAATGATCTCACTGTTCTACTAAACAGGATCATACCTGAAAGAGACAAAATTTTCAAAGGTATATAGCATTGAGCATATTCAGGAAAACTAAATTTCTAGGATCTTGACAATAGCATAATTACTCATTGTTATGAATAATGAACTTGAGGAACTCAGATATTAAAGCACAAATAAAGATTATGATTAGGCTCCCATGGCTAGTAACCACTATGACTTAAAAATTAAGCAAAAAATTCATCTAATAATCTTACTCTTACATAAAAGTATGATTGTGGCAGAAATATGGTTCAATTACTTAAGGATCCAAGAAGAAATCTGACATAGCAACTTGCTGGCAATACGAACATACCTGAATATACTGCGCATAATACATACTTAATAAATGTTTGTTTATGATGATGATGATGATGATGATACTAAAGGTGGGTAAGGGGAACTTGAGTTTTTTTTCAGCCATTAGACATTTTCAACATCTAACTCTGGCTCTCACTAGAAAATGATTATCCCCTTTTCTCAACAAGAAATGATTTCTCCCTCCTCTGTGTCTCATAATACTTAGCTTGTATTTCTTTTATAACTCCTATAAAAGTCATACTCTTATTCATTTATAAGTCCTATCTCCCTTATTAGGCAATCAGTCCACTGAGGGCAGGAGTTGAAGGGACTTCTGAGTGCTTTTCTCATGACAAACATTCAATAGTTATTTGCTGAATGAATGAATCCCAAAAAATGTTATATGAAAATTTTATTGTGTAAATATTAAAGTTTCTAATGAATAAAAACAGAGAATTCAGAACCACAACAAAATTCATTTTTTCTTTATGAACAATATTGAATTGGATTTTTTGCTAGATATATGAATTTCCAACAGCTTATCTTCTGCTATCTAAACCCCTCTCCACCCCAAAATTTTGAAGAGGGCAATCTGAAGGATTTTCTCTGCGCAAAATCCTTAATGACAACCTTAATAAAAGAAATACTTGCTCCTGAAGTAATATAAATGACATAAGATTAAAGACCTGTGATTTTTTTCCCATTAAAATCAATAAAGAATGGCAAAATGCTGTAGAATTTTTTAAAACTCCTGAAATACTAGAATTTTTTTCTCCATTGAGGAAACCAAGATTCTACAGAACTGGGAAATAAAAAGGTAGCCATCAGGATCATGCATCCTGTCATCATCAGTCACTTGCCTTGAGGATCCACAGGGATGGATCAAGAGAAAAGGTAAAGTAGTTCATGGATACAGTTTAGATTCTCGCAAATTTAAGAACAATAACTCTGCATCATGAGGAACTGAAAATCCAAGGATTTCTAATCTCTAAAGAACAAAGGAACTCAGAAAACAAAAGCAAAAAGACAAAGATAAGCATTTAAATGTTATTAAAGTACAAGGGTAAGCCTTAGTACCAATGAAATTTCACAATATAACATTTTTTCTCCAGTAATGATACTCTACATATTTGAGGATGAACTATGAGAGAATCCTGGATCTCATCAAAAACAAAAGATGTTCCTTGAAGTTTCAACCTAAGATAGGAGTTCTGAATAACATCATCAAATACATAAAGAATAATTTCTTCTAATATTAGACCAAGAAGAAAATATAATTTGATTCTGAATGACAATGCATGTTGACTAACAATAGCAACATATCTTGAAAATGGTGGGCAACTTCTTTTTTCTAACATACAAGAAAAATTGGCAATAAATAGAAGAGCTCAGCATTCAGGTAACAATGACTTGTTATGTCTTAAAGAGATGTTCTAAAAGATACCAAAAATGTGCTAAGAAATTGTAAGATAGGTGATAATAACAGTGGACCCAACACAGTAAAAACTGCTCTTAAAGAGGTATATTCAAATAGAAAGTTCTGAGAGATGCTTCCTTTTTTCCTCTGTGATCCACCTACTTCAAGAGTCTTTACCTTTCAGATCATGTTAACAGAACAGAAGACAGTTTGACTAGAAGAGTTTCAATATCCACAAAATTCCAATCTGTGATGTCGATCTCTAAAGTAAAGGTAACGCTGGGCAAAAATCAAGCAATAGAAAAGGATAGGGGTGGGGATGGGAGGAAAAGCACTAGTGAAGCACAAAAAGATCTTCTAGGATTCTTGGTGGCACTGTCACCAAGAAATTCTCTCTTCAGACACTCTACAAGGGATGTTCTGCCCGGGGACAGCCTAGCAGATTTAAATCCTGAGAGGTCTTGTTCATATACTCATATAGGCAGAAACCCTCACAGTGTGAATCCATTTATACCAGTCGCCTTTGGAAATGTGCTCATCAACCCACTACTACTAATCATTCAAAGATAATCAAGTAACTTAAAATTATCACCATTAGGTAATGCTAAGACTTTCAAGAGAAAATTGTAAAGAACTGAAAACAGAAGCTTAACATGACAGGGGATACCTTTCATTACAAATGCATACTATCTAACATGATATGATAATATAAAGTCTACAACTTACCCCAATGGCAGAAATCAGAAGAAACCACAAAGAGATTACTAGGATCCGCTAGATATTTACTGAAGAGTTTTCCGAATTCCTGTTCTTTTGACTCACTCAGAGCTCCAACCAATACAGGAATAATGGTAAACTCATCCTTATGGCTTAAAGGAAACAGGGGAGGCAGATGGTCACATTTAATGTATTCAACAATAATAACTTTTCAAATATGTTCATATTAAATAAAGAGACCATTTATTCAAAGTACTGAATTGATAATAACAGTTAACATAATATTAGTACCCTGAATATATAAAATCTATAAATTGAATATTTTAAAAGGCAACAACAACCAAAAAAAGGTGAGAAATAATGGACAAAATATTAAATAACCACTGAACACAACTTATAAAATGTGTGTATGTAAACGTGTGCATACATACTGATGCACACAATGCTACACATATCAAATACAACATCTTTAGAAATTCTAAAGTACTGATGAATACTCTCAAAGGCAAAAATATACAGTGCACATTTTTTTTTTTGGACTTCAGGGACTTGAGTCCTTTCCTACCTTTGACCCAAGCTGCAATCTCCCAACCAAAACTTCCAGGATCTGATCTGCCTTACTGGATCTTTAGGTTCCCTCTCCATCTCATCTACCTCACTAGATTCCACTACAAATATCACCCATGAACATATGATCTCACTCAATCCTCTGACACCAAAAAGTGAAACCAGCTTAAAAAAAAAAAGAACAAAACAAAAAAAAACGTGGATCACCCATAAAATTCACTTTCTGTACCTGCACCATAAATAAATGCAAGGAGTATGAACAGGTTATGAGAATTTCACTGACAGTCTTGGGTAAATGTGGAGTTTAAGGAGGTGATAGGACAAAGGTAATGCAAAAAACTCAAGTATATCTCACCTACCCCATCTAAACTGTAAGCAAGTTCATAATCAAGTATCATGGAATCATAGAAACTTATAGCTGCAAAGGACTTTAGGGGTCATCTAACTCATCCTATCTCCCACGGAGAAATCACCTTAACAATATCCCTAACAGCCTCAACTTTCCTGTGATAAGGGAGTCACTAATTTATAAGACAATTCATTCCATTTCTGCAGAGCAATAATCCTATAAACTAAAATCTGCATCCCTGGACCTTCTAACAACTGATCCATGTCATGTCCTCTGGAGCCACACAGAATGAATCTAAGAATCTTTTCTTCCACATGAAATTTTATCGAATATTTGAAGACAGCTATCATACCTTATCAAAGTGTTATCTTCTCCAGGCTAAATAAAAATAGTATTCATATAACAAGGTTTGAGGTCTCCTTAACACTCAGATTTCTCTCCTGGACACACTCCAGTTTTTCTATATCTCTCATAAAAAGTGGCAACAAGAAATGAACAAGAACTCTAAATTTGGTCTGGCCAAGGCAGAGCATAGTGGAACTATTTATACTTCCCAGACACTATAGTTCTATTAATGGAACTGAAAACTACATTAGTTATTTTGCCAGGCAATCCAAACTCTTGACTCATATTATACTTAGAGTAAACAAAAATCCCCCAAATCTTTCTCTCAAAAATTGCTGTCAAGTCAAACTTTCCCCTACCCACTCCCACCCTATCCTATACTTGTACAGTTGTTTTGGGGAACCTAATTATAGGTCTATTTATCCCTCTATTTAGTTCTATATGATAAATACAACCTAACATTGCAATCTGAGAATATTGTCTTGAATTTTAATTCCATCATCAAAAGATTAATTATTCCTCCCAATTTTCTGACATTCATAAATTTGATGAGGTTGTCTTCAAGATCTTAAAAAACACCGGAAAAAATACTGATAAAAAAATAGACATAGCTGAGAACAAAGTCCTGTAGCAAACATTTAGAGACAATTTTTCCAGGTTGACATTAATCCACTGGGCAAAATCTGGGTATAATCATGCAACCAGCTTTGAATACAGCTAACTGTATCAGCCTATGTAACATCTTGCTCACAAAGTTATCATGAAAGCTTGCCAACTTCCTTCTTAAAAAAAAAAAAAAAGCCCATAATCACACTAGTTTCATAGTACCTAAACCATATGTCTTGCCCATAATATGTACTTAATGAGGTTAATTTGGCATTATTTAATCTTAATGAAGCTATATTGACTGCTAATAATCACAATTTCTCTTTCTAAATGTACACAAACCATGAGTGTTCATATTCTGGTCCACAATTTTGTCAAGAATCGCCATTAGACTCCAGTAGTTTTAGTCAATTATTTTGAAAACTAAAACAAGGAATGCCTTTCTCTGGTCTCCCAGGGCATGCTGAAGATCTGAATTTATTAAAAAAAAAAAAGCTTCAGTAATCACTTTCAAATTTCTTCAGCACACTGTAAATTTATCAGTCAGGTGCCAAGGATTCCCAGGGCACCAATTCTAAAGTCACAGACAGGAAGATACCAGCCACATAATTCTGGTGGTTCAAAAGGTCTTAATGCATGTAGAAGCCCTATCAGGAACAAATTTTATCCACCATGAATGTCACTTTAGTGTCACCTGCCTTCAGGGTTCACATCAGCTTCTGACTCAGATCTTTTCTATGCTTTTCGTCATTCTAATTTGTCTCAGGTTATCAGCCAACTTCCACAATACTGAAACAATAACTCCTTTTTGTCCTCTCTAGAAGTTAAGACATTGTTTACACTACTCCCCTGCCACAGTACACGTGGATACCTGTTTGATCTTTATCATAACCAGTGTGGCACAACTTTGGGCAATACCTTCATTAGACCCAACTGCTGCCAGGGCTTGCCCAGAATATACTGGTCCCTGCAAATCCTGAAGGCCCAAACAAATTCCAAAGCCCTCATTTTCTTATGTCTTAGCATTTTTCTGTGGAACACAATAGTTTGGCACAAGAGACTTCAACCCATTTAAAGCAGGTAAGTTTTATCTCCTCGCTTCTCTCCAGTCTTAATTACCTCTGAGCCATGTGAATGATTATTCTTAAGAAAGAAAATAGAACTAATTCTGCTTTCTGTCATGAGACAGGAGATATGGCATAGATGAAAAGAAAAAAAGGCCTGGCATCAGAAAAAACGGGTTCAAGTAATCTTATCAGCTACTCAACTTCTAGAAGCTCTAGTCGCTTCATCTGTAAAATGGAGATCAATACCTAATTTAACTATCACATAGTTATGAAAACCAAGTGAGATGATGCATGGGAAAGCAATTTGTAATCAACAGATTTCCATACAGTATTATTCTTGGAGAAAGGCAACTTAGTGTAACAAAAAGAGAACAGTACTTGGGAGTCAAAAGATCTAAGTTCAAGCCTTGACTCTACCATCACCTAGCTATGTAACCTACTCTCTCTAAGCTCAACTACCTCATCTGTAAAATGGGAAAAATGATGCTTGCAGTACCTATATTGTAAGGAGAGCATTATATAAATGAACAAGGACTATATAAATATGAACTATTATTATCATCATCATCACTTAACTTTATATAACCTACCCCAAGTATGGGGACTATCCCTTCCTTATTCCTCTTCTTGCAAGGACATATATAAGCCCTTAAAATCTGTGAAACTTCAGCTTATTTAGCACTTTAGCCTTTTCAATACTCTTCTGCATTTGTTCTTAGTTAAGCAACCTTTATCCCATCTTTTACAAAAGATCTTTTAAAACAATGTTAGAGTTCTCTTTGCAGTCTTTCATAGTTATACAATCAGAATGCCTTTAACAGCTTCTTTTACTTGTGTGCCACCATTTCTGAAGTTACATTAACATGCCATTTATACCTCTAAGCTTTTTGAAGGTTACTTTTCTCAAGTTTAGCACACATGTCTGAGCATATTTAGGCATTTCTTGGCTGGTAATGACTTGCTTCTAAATTTCATGTCACTTCCACTTCACCAACTCCTGACTGGAGTCAGAATTAAGACCAACATAATACTACCCCTTCACTGATTCCTCTACCTTAACCTTTTATCATAGAGCATGAATGTTAAATTGTTAGGGAAGAGAGAAAGAACTTAATGGGACCTTTCATTGTTGAAGAAGTTGGTGTGACCAGATAAAGAATAATTAAAATGGACCAAAATTTATAGATATAGATATAGATAATAATTAGCTAACCAGAAACTTTCTTCCTAATGTTTCAGTTGTAATGAATTTGTTTACATGTTAGCTATTCAATGTTTATTGTTTTAATAGCATTTTACTTAGGAAGACAGAAAGATATTGTCTGCCCCAGGTTACAAAACTTTAGACAGCAGAAATACCTGTCCAATTTTGCTCTATACAAGACCTAACATGATACCATGAGCAAATAAAACACTTAATAAATGTTTTTTGATGTTAAGACGGACATCTAAGGGTACATTTTCCTATGGAGTCAGGACATTTAATTGATGTGCAGCAGAGAAGCAATTAAAGAGTATTTTAAAATACCTAATATTAATATTCCTTAAACCAGAATTTCACAGTGTTCTATGATATAAAATAAGGGCTTAGTGAGAAAATGTGAGAAAACAGGCAATACAAAACATGTATGAATTCAGAATATTTATGTATGGTAAATTTTCAGCATGAAAATACTGAATTTTCTCTATTTTCCTCCAAAATGCTGTCAACTACTTAAGCATATTGTTTCCCACCCCCTAGAACGAACATTTGTGTATTCCAGCTACGTAGCTCCTGCCTAAGAATGTTCCACTGGCAAAACTAGTTTGAGAAACATTAAATAACTTAATTCCACAGTTATCAGGTTACATTCTGGAGTAGAATATCACCTCCACCTTAAAAAGCCCTCTATAATGAATGTAGTTGAAAGGATATTGGATTTAAGTCAGAAAACATGGGTTTAAATCTGAACTCTGCTACTATCTGGGTCTCAATTTCTTCCTACGCAAAATGAGGGAGCTGAACCAGAATGGATTTCTATGGTCCATAAAAGATTCAAATCCTATGACTGTTAAATACAAAATAAACAGGTATGCAGCCTCACTTGAAATGCTCTTTCAACAATATCTCTATCTATGGAGCATAAAAGAGCGAAGAAATTGACAAAGGAGTCTGTCTTTCTTTAAAGAAAATGAAAGAAAGAAAATTAAATGGGTGCTTTCTTAACCCTTCATAACT